AGAGGAACCCAAAGAGAACCACATCAAGACCCATCATAATTAAAATGCCAAGGGCAAAAGACAAAGAGAGAATCTTAAAAGCAGCAAGAGAAAAGAAGTTAGTTACCTACAAGGGAATGCTCATACGGCTGTCAGCTGATTTCTCAACAGAAGCTTTGCAGGCCAGAAGGGAGTGGCAAGAACTATTCAAAGTGATGAATGCCAAGAACCTACAACCAAGATTACTTTATCCAGCAAAGCTTTCACTCAGAATTGAAGGTCAGATAAAGAGCTTCACAGATAAGGAAAAGCTAAAGGAGTTCATCACCACCAAACCAGTATTATATGAAATGCTGAAAGGTATCCTTTAAGAAAAGGAAGAAGAAGGAAAAGGTAAAGATACAAATTATGAACAACAAATATGCATCTATCAACAAGTAAATCTAAGAATCAAGTGAATAAATAATCTGATGAACAGAAAAAAAATGTGCATACTAAATAAATAAATAAATGTGTATACTACCCAAAGCAATCTACAGTTTCAATGCAATCCCTATCAAAACACCAATAGCTTTTTTCATAGACCTAGAATATATAATCCTAAAATTTATATGGAATCACAAAAGACCCGAATAGCCACAGAAATCTTGAGAAAGAACTTTATCTCTGTAGACATAACATGTCAAGGCTGCTGCACCCATGCAAGCACCTGTCAGGTCCCTCTCCTGGAGTCCAGCAGATTGCTGTGAATTCGTCAACCCTGAGGTCTCTGTTACCAGCGGGGGCAACAGAGTTGGAACACTGATTCCCAGAGGCTTTCTCCTGGAAACAATGATCAATGTGTCTTGTCTTCTATGCATGAGGGGGTGGAATATAGTCTGCGATTGCAGATCCCCTTTGGAGGGACATGTCTCTAATATGAAACAGTTCAATCATTATGTTGTACACTTGAAACTAATATAATATTGTATATCAACTATAATGAAAACTAATTTTTTTCCATACCCGGTTTGGCTCAGTGGATAGAACGTTGGTCCGAGAACTAAAGGGTCCTGGGTTCGATTCCAATCAAGGGCACGTACCTCAGTTGCAGGCTCAATCCCCAGCCATGGTCGGGAGCATGTGCAAGAGGCAACCAATTGATGTGTCTCTCTCACATTAATATTTCTTTCTGTGTCTCTCGCTAGGAATGGGAAATTATCCTTGGGCGAGGATTAACAAAAACAACAACAAAAACATGCTAATTTTTTTAAAAAGGTGAGCACAGCCCAGCTGGAGTGGCTCAGTTGGTTGACTATTGTCCTATGCAGTTCGATTCCTGGTCAGGACACATACCTGGGTTGTGGGTTCAATCCCTGGTTTGGGGCACATAGGGAAAGCAACTGATCAATGTTTCTCTCCCTCTACCTCTCTCTCCTTCTCCATTCCTTTCTCTCGGGTAGGAATTAAAAAAAGAAAAAAGTGAGCACAGATTTTTAGTGGATAGCAAAAGGTGTTAGTGGATAGCAACAGGTTCTATTGTTAACATAATGCAGACAACTACTTACATTTTTCTTTTTTAAAAAATATTCTTATTGATTTTTTTAGAAAGAGAGGGATTGAGAGAAATACTGATGAGAGAGGAACATCATCAATCGACTGCCTCCTGAATATCCCCTACTGGGGATCGAGCCCGCAACCCAGGCATGTGTCCTGACCTTGGATTGAACTAGTGACTTCTTGGTTCCTTGGGTCGATGCTCAACCACTGAGTCACACTGACCGGGCTTAAATTTTTCTATCTTAATATTCACAGCCAGAAATGTGTTTCACACAATTCAAAAATATTATTGTGCTCCTGGTTGTATAAATAAATAAGAGAAAAAAAAAAAGATAAACTGGAGAGGTACGCAGGGGCTAACCTCAAGCCTGGTAAACCATATTCAGGACTTTATTTTTTTTAATATATTTTATTGATTTTTTACAGAGAGGAAGGGAGAGGGATAGAGAGTTAGAAACATCGATGAGAGAGAAACATCGATCAGCTGCCTCTTGCACATCCCCCACAACCAAGGTACATGCCCTTGACTGGAATCAAACCTGGGCCCCTTCAGTCCGCAGGCCAACACTCTATCCACTGAGCCAAACCGGTGAGGGCCATATTCAGGACTTTAAAAAGCTTGGAAAGAGTCTAAGTTTGTCATGATCCAAACTGCTTTTTAAAACCATCACTCCGGAGGAAAATTAAGTGGGGACAAGACAGAAATAACTGTACACATATCCAATAAACCACTTCTCAAAGACACCTAAGAAATGGGTAAAAATGTATGCCTTAAGGAAGGGACCTAGAAGAGGGACTAGGGGCCAGGGGTTGAAGGGAAACTCATTTTCACAGTATACCATCTTGTATTCCTCAAACTGTCTACCACATGTAGGTATTTCTAGTCTGAACTGTACAGGGACAGGTGAGTATAGGTGCAAGTTACAGGAAAAAATTATGTAGAAAAGCATTCATGTCATATCACTAAAGGAAAGAAAAATTAAATGATACTACATTTAATTCTAATTTACATGCACCGGAAAAATGCTGGAAAATTACACAATAATCCTAAAGTGATGAGAAGTGAGCACTGCAATTACAAATGCTTTTATTTTCTACTTTATGCTTTCCTGTTTTCCCCATGTTTCCTACAGTGAACATGTTCTATACCTTTTATAATGACAAAGAACAAGGTTTTGAAGGGTGTGAGGGGGCATACCTTATGTAGACTGGTCATGCCATCATCATCTACCAGCCTGGGGTTGGACCCATGGGAGAGTAGAAGCCGTGCAATCTCCGTGTGCCCACAGTAGCTGGCCCGGTGCAGAGCGGTGGCACCCCCACGTGTCTGGGCGTCACACTTGGCCCCACTTTCCAGCAGGAACTGGCATACTGCGTAGTGTCCATTGCGGCTGGCATAGTGCTACAGGGAACAGAGACCGAGGTTGGACAGCAGAACCAGGCAGGCGACAGGGGAAGGGGAGGGGAAAGCATCGGTCCTAGAGCAGAGGCCTGGCTCCATCAACTGTGTGACGGGCAACTGCCTTCAAGTCTGGCATCAGTTTCCTCAATCATTTCTACCTCACGGGACTGTTATGAAAATGAAATCAAATAACTGACATAAAGCACACTTATTTTAAAAATCCAGGTTCACATGACACTTAAAAGAGAAACCCTGCTGGGCGAGAATGGGAGGGAGGAGACAAGGTAAACCTCAGTCCCCCTCAGGGAGCAGGCTGACCCCAAGCCCCTCCCAGCTCACCAGAGCGGTGTAGCCGGCCAAGTCGGGCTGACTAGGGTCCACTGCCTTCTGGATTAAATACTTCACTCGGCCCAGGTCTCCATTCAGGGCTGCTGACCAGATTCCTAAGGAAAGACAACCAAAGTACCAAAGTACTGAACGATGCTGACCGAGGACATTTAATATTTCCTTCACCGCTTGACCTCCATTTTTTTTTCCATCCATAAAATTGGTAAGAAATGGGTGTTGGGTTAATATTCATTCAACAAATATTAACCAAGCACCTCCTCTATGCCAAGGATTGTCCTAGGTGCTGGTGACATGTAGTGAACCAGACACTGAGCTTGCCTGACCAGAGCAGGGGGATGGGACAGACACAGAAATCCCTTCTCCCCACTTCAAATGTTGAGTAATGTTTAAAATGGTTGAATGCACAAATTCAAAAGCAAGAAAAGAACATTGCCAGGTGCCAGAACAAGGAGAAAATCGCAGCCACAGTGGTGAGCAAGCACTGGGTCTGCAGGATTCAGAGTCTGCACAACTAGACACACACCCCAGGGACTTGGGCTCCAATGCCTGAGCAGGGTCTGGAGCAAAGGGAACTAGAGAAGCTCTGTCACAAAGCCAGGAGGTGGCACACCAGGGATGAACTGGGACTGAAAAATCTCTCTTGCCCTGGGTAGCGGCAGGAAGCAAGCCACCATGCCCAGGCCCTTCACTCATTCAACAAATATTCACTGAATACTTACTATGTATCTGGCACTGTTCTGGGTACTAAGGGTCAGCTGAGAATAAAAGACCTCCTCCCAAATGTTGGTCTTATGGAGCTTATATTCTAATTAAAGGAGATAGACAAGGAGAAAAAACATACATGAAGTAAGTCAGGTGGTGCTAAATGCTGTGAGGAAAAAGAAAGCAGAGAAGGGGTATAGGCAGTGGTCAGCGATGGCACCTCTGATAAGGTGACATCTGAACAGAAACCTAAAGGAAATGAGAAACAGCATCATCTGAATAGGTGTGGTGAGAAGATAGCATTGCAGAAGAAACTTAAAAAATCAGAGGTCCTGACCTATGCCACTTGGCGGTGTGGGACCTATATCTACCTACATTACCTTAAAGAGCAAACCCCCAAGCTAAGAATCTGGCATAAAAACTGATCCAGACAAGTGAACCCTATAAGGGCCAGTCAGAGGCAACTTCTTAAAATGACCCTTAAGGTCCAGCTGGCATGGCTCCGTGGTTGAGCATCAACCTATGAACCAGGTCACGGTTTGATTCCTGGTCAGGGCACATGCCCCTGTTGCAGGCTCCATCCCCAGGAGGGGGCATGCAGAGAGCAGCTGATCAAGGATGCTTTCATCATTGATGTTTCTATCTCTCTCCTTCTCCCTTCCTCTGAAATCAATAAAAATATATTTGAAATAAAAAGATCCATAAGGATGCTTCTATTAGCCTCAAAGCTATGTGTGACAATCTCTTACAAAAGAGGACCCCCTGGCCAGTGTAGCTCAGTGGTTGAGCATGGACCCATGAACCAGGTGGTCTAGGTTAGAGTCCCACAGGGAACATGCTAGATCCCCAGGGCATGCAGGAGGCAGCCAATCAAGGATTCTCTCTCATCATTGATGTTTCTCTCCCTCCGTCCCTCTCTCTACAACAGAAAAATAGTGTGAAAAATAAAAGAATAATATTTCCAAAGGATTGGGTGGGAGGGGGAAATAACTGTCAACCTAGAATTTTATACCAGCTAAGCTATTGTGTGTGTGTGTGTGTGTCGTGTGTGTGTGTGTGTGTGTGTGTGTGTGTGTGTGTCAGTGACGCATGCTCAGTGAAAAAACTATTAAAGGATATACTTCAGGCCTGGCCTCATGGCTCAGTGGTTGAGCATCAACTTATGAACCAGGAGGTCACAGTTCGATTCCTGGTCGGGGCATATGCCCTGGTTGTGAGCTCAATGCCCCCAGTAAGGGACTTGCAGGAGGCAGCCTATCAATGATTCTCTTTCATCATTGATGTTTCTCTCTTTCTCTCCCTCTCCCTTCCTCTCTGAAATCAATAAAAATATTTTTTTTTAAAAAAGATACACTTCAGGAAAAATAAAAATGAACCAGAAAGAAAATATGAAAAAAATCCACACAACAAAAAAGATAAGGATCTTTTCCATGTGTGCAATGTAGATAATGAACAAGCAAACAAAACAGGCACACCTCCTTTTATTGCACGTCACCTTACTGTGCCCCATGGATGTTGTGTATTTCACAAACTAAAGGCAAGATGTTCCACCAGCAAAAACATTAGAACTCGCTTTACTGCGACGCCTACTCCGTTTTGATGGCGGTCTGAGTCCAACCTGCAATACCTCCAAGCTGTGTCTGTGGCGTCAGACTGTAAAAACTGCTCTGATGAAAGCAAGGTCCTCTCCAGAACCTGGAGGGCGGTGGCCCTGCTTCGCATGGGTCAGGTTTCCAGCAGCAGCAGCCCACCCGGCAGGTGTGAGGGGAGCGCGATGGGTCCGCACCTACAGCGCCCGGGCCCCCTCGGCTGTAACGACTGTGTGTCCCAGTGGTTCTCAACCTTCCTAAGGCCGAGACCCTTTAATACAGCTCCTCATGTTGTGGTGACCCCCAACCATAACATTATTTTCATTGCTACTTCATAACTGTAATTTTGCTACGGCTATGAATCATAATGTAAATATCTGATATGCAGGATGTATTGTCATTGTTACAAATTGAACATAATTAAAGCATAGGGGTTAATTACAAAAACAATATGTAATTATATATGTGTTTTCCGATGGTCTTAGGCGACCCCTGTGAAAGGGTC